TCAGGCAAATGTGCGATACTTTAAAGCAAAAGTAGACTATGTTCAGAAACCGATTTCTAAGAATGGGCTTGAAGGCATATGGAAACGGTTTTACGAAGAGGATGCTGGGGAAGCTGAGATGTTGTTGGTCCCATACGGGGGAAGAATGGATGAAGTTTCAGAGTCTTCCATTCCCTTCCCACACAGAGCTGGTAATTTCTACCAAATCCATTATATGGTGTATTGGGATGAAGAAGAGGCGTCAGAAAGGCATATAAATTGGATCAGAAGACTTTATAGTTACATGGCTCCTTACGTTTCCAAGTCCCCAAGAGTTGCATATATTAACTACAGAGATCTTGATATAGGAGTTAATAACAAGGGCAATACAAGCTATGCACAAGCAAGCATTTGGGGACGAAAATACTATAAGAATAATTTTAAAAGACTGGTTCAAGTGAAAACCAAGGTTGATCCATCCAATTTCTTCAGGAATGAGCAAAGTGTTCCACCCTTCTACTCGTGGACCAAGAATGGAAAGTAGGATTCTCTGGGAAAATGCTATACTTTATTATTTGATTCTTATGATTAGTTGCATTTGATTAATTTTTATTACTGTGATTAGAGCTTTAAATTGATGTCGCCTGTGCCAACAAAGATTGTAGTCAACAGTACATTTATTAAATGCACCATTTTTTGTTAATGTTTAGAGGATATAATGTGTTTTTCCTTTTTCATAATCTAGCATTTAAGGAGAATGCAAGTCTCAATGTAACAATCTTCAAGTTCAAAGGATAAAAATCATTTGCCAGAAGATAGGGGCGGACCCAGAGACTTCGAACTGTGGGGTCAAAAATAAATTTTTTTTCGAATAACGTATCATTAATGAAAATAAATTCATAGGATTAATGGATTGGAGTGGATAATTAATTGAAATTTGGAACCCCAAACCCAAATAATCTTTTCAGCATCAGAAAAAAAAAAATCTCTGGGGTCATTTGACCCCACATGACCCCATGTGGGTCCGCCCCTGCCAGAAGATTTCTACCCACTTGTTTGACAAATCCTCACAATGCATGGAGCCCACAAAAATAAAAAATGCAAAAAATAAAATAAAATAATAAATAAGTAAATAAAGTAGAGCCCACCCGCTATGTGAGAGTCTATCAAGGAGGTTGACAAAATTTCTTTTGACACAGTAGCGTGATTCAAGTTCAAATCCTCACAACAATCCCATGATACTCACATCTTATTCTCATTTTGGTGCTTGTATCACATGGGTATTACTCAAACAATTACATATACTAATAGATAAAGAACCCAAAAAATATAGAAAATTGAATATATCCTATTAGGTTTCGTCACAATATGTTTTATTTATATAATTCATAGAATCTACAAGTACTATTCATTTACCTCTAATTTCAATCTATTTAGTTGCCAATCGTATTATTAATATAAGATATCAACTAAATCCCATTCAAGATGGTATTAAAACTTCGAGGGGCTATCCCAATCTAATCGGGTGAGATTTGAGAGTTTATCTATATCAAATATTTATCTCTTCAGTATATTTACACATTTAACCAACAATATTGTCGACCCAAAATCAATGTACCAATTGGGTCACATGGGGCAAAATGTGTAAAAGCCTTTTTCCTTTCACACCCTTACTATTGCTTTAAGCTTAACTTAACATAAAAGATATTTTTAAGAAAAAAAGAGTAAATATGGCCCTCTTCTTAACAACAAAAGTATTCATTAGCAAAACATGCTGTTCAAATTAAATTAAGAATGCATTTATTAACTAAAACTTAATCTCCACGATCATTAGGGATGAAAAGTGTGACAAGTCGTTCGTTTGCTGCGTGGTCGGGTTGAAGGTGAGCTGAGAGCGCGAGCCAAGCAGCGTATTGGCCATGTATGCCATGTAGGCTCGCCTAACATAAGGTGGAATGCATGGCTGAAAATCTTAATCTACAAAATACATGCTTAAATGGGTTGTGGGAAATATTTAGGGTTCGTTTTATTGCAAAGATAGATTTTCGGTGGAAAAAAAATGAATTTTAGGGTATTAAATTGCCTAGAAATTGTTTTATTGGAAATTATCAATTATTGTGTTTGATTGATATAATTTTTCACATGAAAAATGTTGAAATAAAAATATTTTTTGGTGCTCGTTTGACTTTGTTTTACATGAAAATTAAGGGATTGAATTTATCAGTACTGGGGATAGAATTTGATTCTATTGCCACAAAAAAAAAAAAGGCTCCAAAAATCATCTATATTTTGGTGTTCGTTTGACTTTTTTTTACATGAAAATTGTCAATTAAATGGATATCCTCTTTTACAACTGTTCATAGAATTTGCTTCCATCGCCAAAAATAAAAAAGGTGGGAAACATAAAACCACCTATCCCATGGGAAAATGAATTCCCCAAAAACAAGGAATTGGTGCACTTTTGTGAGGCAAAGGTGGAAAACCAATTGCCTAGAAAATTTTGGCTATCAAACAAGCCAAAAGAGGGAAATGGAATTTTTTTTCCATTTTTCATAGAAAATTTTGTGATATCAAACATGACCTTATTTATTTTGAAGTTTCACGCTAGGAGGGATTTGGGGTTCGTGATGATTTTTAAATGAAAATACAATAGCCAATTTCATTAAAAATCATTATTTTGGTAAGACTTGCACCTAAGCATATTTAGCCCTTGTTTGGTATTGATTAAAATCAGACACTTAGTAGATTCTGATAAAAGTTGATGAAACATTTGATTGAAAAATTGTAAGTCATGTGGTTAAATTAATTGTTAATTTAATTTTATGAAGTTGACTTGAAATTTTTATTAAATTTTAATCTGTATCAAACATGGGATTAGATCAAGAATAATATCTGCATCCTACTCCAGTTGACTAAAAGAGGTCTATTTTCTAATAAATGTACTACTCAATGAATACAATCTTAATTTGTTGGCACTGTTGACGTCAATTTAAAGTCTGTGGAATTAAAATACAACCTTCAATTGATCAATCAAGTTCTAAATGAGTTCCAAATCAATAACAATAACGAAATCATAACTGTGAATGAATATAAACACTTCATCTTTTCAATATCACTAAGATTGGCACCAAAATAGAGTATGCAAGGCTCGGATCATTGATCCAAATACACACAAGGTATTTCCATTAGAAGGAGCCAAGAATTCCACTTGAAACACTCACTCGAATCATGCAGAGATAGACAATATAGAAATTAAACAACCAATATAGCCATAAAAACGATAATATTACAATTTAGGAAAATAGCCCTAAAATACTAACATTAGGTAAGGCTACAATCCTATTGATCACCCTACACGATAACTTGCTACTTTAGTAATTAAAATACTTTCAGCTAATTCACTAGAACAGACCTATCTATGGTCTGTAACAATGAGAGATGTGAATTTAATTTAGGATTCAAGTCCTTACTGCAAAATTAGCAGATCAACGCCTCAATTGCGTAGGATACGCACGACAAACACAATAATTCCTATTTTCAACCACAAAGGATTGAAAATCACCAAGCAATCGAGCAACTAGAGG